ATAATCCGGATCTTGTTCACGCTTTATGCTGAGTGCAGTGCAGCAGATCTCCACACTGACTTCAGTTTAGTGAAGTTCTGTCTTGCTTTCCCGATCCTGGTTTTGACGTCCTCATCTGTGCCTGTGCTACCTGTAGTTGAAACGATGCTGCCTAGGTGGTAGGTGGAAGAGACAACTTCCTTTAGACTTCTCCCGTTGATGGTTATTGGTGCTTCTTGTTGTTGGTAGTGGTGGTTGGATATCTTCATCATCCCTGTCTTCTCTACGTTCACCCGAAGGAATTCCCGTCCTCTCTGCCTGGCCTCTTTTGCCAACTTGTTAGTTTTCACCTGTAGATCTTCGAGTTTGTGTGGCTTAATATTTTGCCTTGGTGCGGATGGGAGGAGGCTGTGTAAGATTCTATCAATAAACTAATGGGAAATTTGCGTGGCTTTGGTCAACCCCAGTGTCAGACATACGACAACAAACAATACAAAACGGGCTGTTGCACCTTTTTTGTGAATGTTGTTTGGCTTCAGCAGTATGTAATCAGGGGTATGTACAAGATCAACTTTTCAGACTATCTATCCAATTAGTGTCTTGTGAGCAAAATCATGAATGTGTTGTATCAGATATATTTTCACTACTGTCTGCTTATTCAAAACCCAACAGTTTGCGCAGTACCTCGTCTCTCTTCAATACTTCTTCGGTACCATATGAAGTGATGATAACCATGGGATGCTTGATAAACAGATTATCTCAAATTTAACTGTTTAATAAACCCTTCTCTTGCTGATAGCCTGACAGGGGATTTCGCACAAACTGGTAAACTGCGTGTCACAAAATATGATAACTGACTTTATGGTTCAAATCGGCTTTAACATACAAAAGTTACGTCAGTATGGGAAATGCCTCCAATATCGTTATACTCGAAGAATTCTTTCTGGGTTAAAAAAACAAGGTTTATAGAGATCCATTCAGTCAGTATGCAGCGACGGTCACGCTTGTTTTATTGTTCAAAAGTTTGTGATGTTTTGCACCCACCAACAAATCGAAATGCTGTTCGAAGTCTACGATGATGGCAGGAAATGATCCTTCAGTAATAACGATTTGTCACACAAATTGTATTTAAGAACCAAAATTCAAAGTTTAAAGTGAACAACCTTACATGTTGATAGATGATCTGTTTGCTGCCTGCAGTGCTAATACTCCATTCGAATGGCTTCTCTCTTTAGATGTTAGTGGGACCGCACCTTTCTTTGCACTGGCATCATTTGGAAACTGTGTTCTTTTTCTTCTGTCTGTCATGTAGAGTAAGTAGATAACTGCCTGGTTTGTGTTCACCGGCGACAGTAGTCATCAGTGACTACAAACCTTTTCGTTTCCCGAAAATGCAGGACGTTTCACTTAATAATTTTGTAAACAAAGTTTTGTTTGATTGCTTATTGTACGGTGATACCAACACATTATCTTTGAACATATGTGTACATGAGTCATGGATGAAAATTTGCTTCTGTAGATTCTGTGAGTTGGCATGCGTAACATAAGGGTTATCAGTTGAACTGCTGATGCACTTATTTTACGCCTGAGACTCACGCTACGAATACTGTTTTGTTGGCTGACACGATGAGCAATTAGTGGTGACATTCTTTCACATATTTTATGAGCAATATCGACTACCTTATCACCATCCACATCATCTTTAAGTGCTAACACCAGCTAGATACTCTGGAAACTTGATGAAGCTGTACAAGGTTGAAAGAAAAATCTGTTACTCACCTGCCTATCACATAGTAGATTATCCTATGTTCTTTTAGTTATGAAGGTGTCCTGTTGTCCAGACACATATTACTTAGAATCTGATCTATAGCTTAGATGTTGGATAATTTATTATTATTATTTTATTATTAGTCCCTTGGGTTCCTAATGGAATATAGGGCTTCAGTAGCACGTCTCCAGTGTTGGATAATAGGTGACTTTAATTACTTTCCGCTTCCGGACGTCATATGTTGCCACTAGACGGAGTTCTAATGTGGTTTCCCGTATTTGCTGCGTCGCGCAGTTCAGTAAATGGAACAATATCCAAAGTTTGTATTTTGTGAAATAATACGACTGGCTTGAAATTAATGCTCTGAAAGAGCAAACCATAAAGAAACACTATGGCAACTCGGACCGTTACGCAGTAATGCCTGGTCCTATGTGATAATGATGATGATGATGATGATGAAGAAACACCAGTAACTTCAAAAGAAGGTACATAGAAGCTTAAGGTACCTACGGATACAGTGTCGAACGAAGTGTGATTTCCTGTGCTTATAGACGTTGAAATGTCTTTGTAAAATAAAATAAGCATAGTAAAATAATGAGAATAAAACAAACAGAGATAAAATACAATATAGCTTCGCCTGCCGGTAATTCGCAATATGTTGCAAATATATGTTTGATCAGACGGTTTATAAATAATCCAATTAATATGGTAATAATAATATTCAGAGGTGTCGTAAATTGAAATAATAAGCAGGCATTCACTTAACGAGAGCTCACTAATAGTGAACCTCTGATCCAACTGTAGTGACATATGCGTAAGTTTAACTATCTCCTCCAGTTCTCTAGCTCATCCAATGTTGGAATATGCCGAAATCCAACATCATTGGATGGAAAATATAAATGTGAAGAATTGGGATGATGTGCTAGCAACTAAGTCAAATTTATAAAGTCCAACCAAAAAGTATATCAGCAACAGACAACTCAATAACCAGATAAACAAAAATATTTAAATACAAGGTAAACTTGAAATACAGCACTAATCTGTAAAAAATCCCCCTTTTCTGTTTTGATGGTAGGGTTCATTATTTTAACACATTACTGCCGCAGGAAATATGTTTATTAAAAGACCTTCACTTATTTCTGATGAGTTATTTCTCCCGGATTCAGGGATTATGCATGCTGTATATTCTTCGGGTGAAAATAATTAGCTTGTTTATTCTTAACGTAATCGACGTGACATCTGTCTTGTTAAGAAGCGTACATCAAATGCGTAACTCATTAAGTTTCAGCTTTAGATCATGCTGTACTTATTTAGTCAAGCAGACACCCGCTTACATTTTCTTCTGCTATAAGGAAACAACTACTGAATATTGTACACTATTCACCAAAAGACATTCTTTGTTAAATATTACTTATTGCTTCTCCTTCCCTGAACCTGATTCCAAATCGTTTACGAAGCAGATTTGTTCAGACTTCCTAGTTAATCTGAAGTTTTTTCTTGAAATTGATTTATAAAATTCATTTGCAACGTATCAACCTTCTGAACCCCACATGTCAGGGTAATGGATTGGTCTAGAGTCCAGAAACAGGATTTAAAGCGAAATCTTGAGCATTACTGGAACCGATGTGGAGGTAATGTTGTCTCTCTCAGGGCAGTGTTTCTACACTACCCAAATTATTTCTGCATTATTTTCCGCCCTACTCAAGTAAATATCCCAAAAGTTACGCTATTTCAGCTACATCTTAAAACTCTGCCTGTTTGTTTTATCTGCTTCATCTGCTACCATGAGTCAGAACACCTTACTCGTAATTGCATTATCTCAAACAATACGTCTCTCCAAAGCATATGAGGAAGATATTTTTATATCACCGTAAATATTTATTCAAGAAATAACAATAAACCACAGACCGAGAAAATTAGCTCCTGAAGTATTAATGGTAATCCGTTAACTCGAAAACAAAAGACTAGCCAGGTAATTGTAAAGTCAGTCCCAAGGAAGCAGAGGAAACAATCAGAACGTAAACTCTCTGCTTCAGTTGTGAATTCTGATGTTCTGGTCGACGCTCAGTGCTGTAATGGCCTTTTTGAAGAAAATGCTGTTGACCTTTATCCTAAAACTCAGGTACAAAATCAATCTCTTTCTACATGCTACCATAGCCTTCGATTTTCTACACTTTTACACAGTATCTCGAAGATTATGGAAGTATTACTCAGTTGACGCATCCATTATCCACTATATTGCTTCTCAGAAACTAGGTGGTCTTCAAACTTTAAAGTGGTGACGGCTAGAAAGAGATTTGCGCACAAGGTGTATCTTCCTTCTTACAGAAGGAATATTCCACTATCCCAGTCTGCCTTGAAGTTCCTAATATGGTGAACTTGATAACAATGACTGGAGTTACAGCTGAGCTCATTGTTCACTCCAAACATAACTTGGGATCATTGTGCATCTTCCTCACTATTTTCTCTGTTTATAGGTGTCACATTATGGAGTTGTAATTCACGAGTATTTCGCGGAATCGATGGCCCTTTAAAAATGCATTCAGGATGTCTAACTAACATAATATTAAGTGGAAATGTCAGATGAAAGTCATCCACAGATAAAGTGGTCAATGTGTTTCTTCCTCCTTACATTACGGTCATTCATGTATATTGATTTGGAATGCGAATTTCATGTTATGGATGGTACTGTGCACTACCTGGAAATTTTATGTAACAAGAAATTTTGCTGTTTTAGCAAAACCTCGATTGATGAAGACCTATGCTCAGTAGGGTAATGGAAGAATCGAAATCTACTGAATGCTACTGTTATGAATAGTTTCTGTGTTTCCTTGGAGTGGTGAAAATGACACAAAATCCTCGATAATTGAAGTGCTCGAAAACATCAATAGCCCATGGGTAATGTCCATTGGAATAGGTTATATTAGAGGCTTGATGAAAGTGATGGTTGGTTATATCACTTGAATCCACTTAACTTGCATACATACGGCATTAGTGTACATGAAACTGTTTAGGTATTCCGTAGTGTTTTTCTTCAATTCCCCAGAAGACTGAATAGTTAAATTACGCTCTACCTTTCAGATTTCTTGGTGGCAATGAATGTTTCATATCCGTTCTTTCCAACGAAACTAATATGTTCACAAACACCGAGTAAAGGTTACATCATAATCTCAGCTTCAACAATGGTATACGTTACGTACTTGCATCAGATTACCGATGGTTTTATCATCGTTATTAATATAACTAACGATATCTAAAAGTCAGCTGGCAGTTTATTAGTTTTCACGAGATAATAATGACTAGACACCTGTCGGTGATAACCAAAATGTAGAAGTGAAAGTCCATGAAACTGACTAATTAGAGATCAAGAAAGACTAACTGGAAAACAACAAGTTTACACACTTAAGGAAACTGTTAATTTAATGTGTATTTGGGGAAAGATAGTGATGCTAATAAACCAAGAATAATCATATGAAGCCCAGCTTACCGACCTGAGTCTTCAGCAAAAATCAAATAGTGTTATAAACGATGAATCCAAAGTGAACAGTTGAGAAA